AGTGAAAACTTATACTGAATTTTAGCAGTGGAACAACCTGGAAAGTATGATCCAAATAAAACTCTGAAGATATCTCACTACTCCAAGCCAATCAAAGGAATTTGACAGAACTCACACCGGCACCAATATTCACTAAGCTAGATTTAAAGCATGGTTAGCTAAGTGAAGCTGGATGAAAGCAGCAGCTTTCTCACTACATTCTGGTCACTGTTCAAATAATGCAGATGGTTTTGCATGCCATTTGGCATCTCCACAGCTCTAGAGGAGTATTTATGCAGACAGCATTAGATAGTCGGTGATCATTCCGAAGTGGAAACTATAATGGATGATATGCAAGTTATGGATGTGGATACTACAATGGAACCATTGCTAATTGTAACCAAAATCTAGTGTGACTGCTAATTGAAACTCACCAGATAAGCCTGAACAAGAAAAAACACTGCAGTATAAAGATGCCAAAAATCATATATATAGGGCACACATTGACAGCAAAAGGTCTAATATCAGATTGCAAAAAGGTGAGCGCGAAAGCAGTGATGTAATAACCAGCAGATATAAGAGCACTGCAAAGATTTATTAGAATCATCTACTACAGAACTCAGCAATATTCTTTCCCAGTTTGTCGGAGTGTGAACCATTGCCCAACTCACTGCCAAGGATATGCAGTAGGATTGGGGTGCAGAACAAGAAGCTGCATTCACTCTGACTGAGCAACTAATCACAGCAACTCCAGTGCTGAATTACTCTGACATAAATGAAAAGTCTTCCCGTGGTGTCACTCTAGTGAGATAGGATTTGGAACATCCCTAATTCAACAGGGACAATTGGTTGTATTTGCACCCAGGGTGCGAGTGCAGATTGTATGATGCTGTGCTCAATTTGAAAAAGAAGTCATCCATTATATCTTCCATTCTGGGAAGATCACTGACTATCTCAAACTATCTGTGTTGACACTCCTCTGGGATTGTGAAAATGTTAAATGGCACATACAACCATTTGCATCACTCAAACCATGCCCAGAATATAGTTAAAAAGCTGCTCCTTTCATCCAGCTTCATTTACCAGTAAGCATCCTTTGCATCTAGGCAATATATCTGACCTTGCAAGTTGTTCTGAATTTTTTTCAATTGTTTTTGCTTGTGAACATTTTCATCACAACTTACTTGCAAGCGATAAGGACAAGTTATGTGTGATATGGGAAAATGTGAGGTTGTTTGTTTTGGCAGGCAGAACTGAAAAGCATGGTTTTACTTAGATGGAGATCGATTGTGTAAGCCCGAGATGCAGAGGGATTTAGGTGTTCAAGTGCATGAGTCACAAAAAGTTGGTATGGACATACAGCACTTAATCAAAGAGAGTAATGGGATATTATCCTCTATTACAACAGTAATTGGACACAAGAATAAGGATGTTGTGTTTCAGTCATGTGGGGCATCAGTGAGTCCATATCACAAATACTGCTTACACTTTTGATCTCTGTATTTAAGGGAAGCATGTAAATGCATTTGAGGAAGTTAAAGGTGATTTGCTGGATTGATTCTTGCAATGAGCAGATTGTCTTATGAGGAAAGGTTGGACAGGCTGGGCTTTTCTTCCACCGGAGTTTAGAAGAGTGGAGAGGTGACTTGATTGAAGTAAATTAGATCCTGAATGATCTTTACAAGGTGGACATGAAAAGGATGTTTTCTCTCGTTTGTCAGCCCTGAACTAGGGGGCACTGTTTTAAATTTAGAGTTTGCCTTTTAAAGACTGAGATACGGAGAAGTTTGTTTCTCTGAAGGTTGTATGACTTTGGAATACTCTACCTCAGAAGGCAGTGGAGATGAGGTCATTGAGATTTTGGAGTAGATTTGTAGCTCGGGTCGTGGGTGTTGAGGTTGGTTGGCTCACCGAGCTGGTTTGTTGTTTCGCAGACGTTCCATTACCCTGCTGGGTAACATCATCAGTGCAGCCTCCGTTGAAACATCGGTGTGTTTTCCTGCCTGGTTTTTAAACTCTGGAGTCCGTTGAGCTGGATTATCTCATTTCCGGTTTTCCTTCATAGTGGAGTGTATATGGGGTCGAGTTCTATGTGTTTATTTATAGCCATTGATGATGAGGTCATTGAATATTTTTAAGATAGAGGTGCATAGCTTTTTGTTATTTGGGAAAATCAAGGGTTATTGGCGTAAGTGGGAATGTTTACTGTGAAATGCATGGTCTTATTTCAGCCATGATCTTACTGAATGGCAGAACAGGCTTGAGGAGCCAAATGGTCTATTTCTGCTTCTATTTTGTATATTTACATAAAGTGACAATGAAGTCTGACCACAAACCACTTCAAAAGCATTTTCCTCAAGCCACTACTATCTGCTCCAAAGTCTTCTGCAAATATTACTCTGGTTACAGAGATATCATCTAGTTGTGACATATAAGCAAGGGAAACAGATATACATCATTGAACTGTCATCAAGAGTAGCACAACCTGGGAAGAAAGTACAGTATGTTATGACAGTGTGAAATCTTCCAGATTCAATATGAAGCAGAAGTTCAAAGTGCTCGTGAAGTCATTCATCAACGCAGAAGTAACATTGAATCTAAAGACCAGAGTCTTGCTCAAATAAACTAAATTACCCAAAAAGATGCAGCTATCCAAATGTTGCAAGTAGCAGTGATGAAAGGATGGCCTGAAAGCATCAAGTTCATTCTGATGGTCGTGTGAGCATTTTGGACAAACAGATGAAATGAAAGGCCAAGATGGGAATATTGTACAAAGGACAGAGAACCATTTTCCCTAAGCAGTTGAGAGATGTGAAACTGCATACATGGAATTGCATAGTCATAGGAAGGCAAGAAAAGTGTTCTATTAACCAAACGTGAGCAGTAAAGTCAAGGAGCACATCAACCAGAGCTGTGCTTGTGTCGAGTATCAACCCAATCAATCATAGAACCGCTGATGAAACATGACATCCCAGGCAGACCACTGGTGAGGCTGGGAGTAGATCTGTTCAGTCTTGCAGGAATTGATTATCTTGTCATCATCATAGACTACTGTTTTGATGACTAGCAGGTAAACCAGCTGACTTCAACAATAACTGGTGAGATTATAGAATGCCTGAAAGCACACTTTAGTGGTTATAGCACTCCAGATGTTGTGAAGAATGACAATGACCCTCAGTTCATGAATGACAAATTCAGCCATTTCATAAAGGATTCAGAAATTCAACACTGTACATCATCTCTGCACTATTCCTCAACAAATGGGAAGGCTGAGACAGCAGTTACAATAAAAAAAAATCAACAAAGTTGAGTAACTCCAGCATCGGTGTATATAAGGTAATCCTCAGATGGGAAAACACTGACTAAAAGCATGGTAAGTGGTCTAGTAGATAATGTCACATGGCACGGTGGCTCAGCGGTTAGCACTGCTGCCTCGCAGCGCCAGGGACCCAGGTTCAATTCCCCCTCGGGCAACTGTCTGTGTGGAGTTTACACGTTCTCCCCGTGTCTCCAGTTTCCTCCCACAGTCCAAAGATGTGCAGGCTAGGTGGACTGGCCATGCTAAATTGCCCATAGCATTCAGGGATGTGTAGATTAGGTGGGTTACAGGGGAATGTGTCTGGGTGGGATGCTCCGAGGGTTGGTGTGGACTTGTTGGGCCGAAGGGCCTGCTTCCACTCTGTAGGGATTCTATGATTCACACAAACTATTGTTCCAATAACTATTGAGCCAGAAGTAGTAACAGGCATGAATGACAAGAAACAGCAGAAAGCCAAAATTACATTTTAACAAAATTGCAAATTTATTGCCAGAGTTGAGCATGGAAAGGCCAGACAGAGCCTTCAATGCTCTAAGAAAAGTCAACTCAGGTGACAACTTGGGAGATGCATCGAGCAGTTGTCAGCTTGATCATATGCATCAGAGCTGAACAACCAGATACACTTTCACAATTGCAGACATAAATGTAAAACTAGAGAAGCCTGTTATTAATGTACACAACCAATCAGGACAATGTGAAATCACAGTCTACAGATCAGTTGCAGAGGTCCACATAATTCCAACAGTGGAAATGGCACAACAGCACTTATTGGACTAGCAAGTAAGAAGGGAACAACATTTTCTGGTGAAGAAATATTACCCAGATGAACAGCCAATGACAACACCCACTTGTACTGTTAAGTGACTGGCATGATTCAAACACTGCACAATGCATTTGCAGGAACTGTCAACAATAAACCGCGAATGTAAGAAAACAGTTGTGTCTATTGTGGGAACTTGGGTAACGCAATATAGATGAAAATGTATGCAATAGTTTTGTAAGGAACGGGGAATGTGTAGGATAGAAATGCAATAGTACACTAATGTGCCTCCTGGCTTGAAGTCATGAGACCTCTACCAAGAAGCATTCACTGCAGACATCCATCTTACAGTAAATTCAATAAAGACACAGTGTAAACATTATCGATGTGAGCTATTAACCGTAGAGACTCCAATTTTTATTCCATTTACAGGGCTGACCAGGAATCTCTTCTGCATATGTTGTACTCAACATATTTGGCCTCAAAATGAACAGCTCTTCCTTGCCCTCAAGGAAGACTTGAACTCGGAAATTTTGCCTTAGAGGCAGGGACGTAGCTCACTGTGCCACAAGATTTCTTTACATTGGTTGTAATGGAAAAATCTTATTTGCTCAAAGTTGTTTAATGTAAAGTTGCACTTCCCAGGTACACAACTGAAATGTTAAATGAGAATTGTTGCACTGTTATGTATTGCACCAAGACTAACACATGGTCAACAGAAGGCAGCCATTATTGAACAACTTTATTCACACACAGGGCAGCAGAAAGCTCAAAGCCTACTAAAAGAAAAAAATCAAAAAGTGAACCAATTGAAACAGGAGAAAAATTGTCTGCCATTTCTCAGGAGGGAGAAAAATAGCAGACATTGAAACCATAAAACCTAGAAGCATCATAGTTTTAAGTAAGTCTTTAGATATACAAAAAGAATCCTATCCAAATTACCTTTTCGTAAAAAGTTGGTTTTACTTTGATCCATCAGTTCCTTGGGTACGAAGCTGTAATTGGACATTTTGTTTTGCCTCATGTTGTTGAATTTGGTTTGGGTCACAATTATCTCAATTGCATCATCACTGAGTTGCTTTCCCAGAAATTCCCCAAGTTTCAACAAAGCACTTCGCATATCCTGAAAATATATGTTTTTGTCCTTTTGTTAATTAGAAAATTTTTTTTTTCTTTTTACGTTGTACTCAGAGTTACTGTCTACCAAATAATACCACAATCCATTCAGAGAGATAAAAGTTAAATATGCTAATATAATATCTATAGGACACAACACAAGGGTAAGTTGATTAAAAAAAAAATTAAACTATCTCAAGCTGGTTTCAATTCAAAATATAGGATATTTTCTTGTTCTTTCATGAGCAAAAACAAATCCTGGAAATCAGCAACATTTAAGTAAAACAAAAAATATAAAATAGTGGATAACAGGATTTGAAAAGATAAGTGAAAAGTAAGTACCTTAAGAATAGTTTTCACGTTCCTATACTTCACATTGGATTGAACACTCACTCTGTGCACAGGTAAGGCCAAATTAAATGTTATGGATATTGACAGGAAGCCTGTCCACTCACTTACCCTCCCTCTGTAAAATTCCGTGATGGCAGGACTGAGTGTGAGCAGCCAATCTGCCACAACTTTAACCAAATTTTGTGTGCCCTGTGCAAGGTGGTAAAATTCCCCCTTCCATCATTATACCACGACATATGTATATCACATCATCCCACCATGTAGCTGGTAGCAGCTCTCATTACACACTTGTGTTCCTTTTAGCAATGGATTTTTGTTGTCCATTTTAAAATCCAGTTTAAGGAAATATTCTGTACAACAATTCAGTTCAACTTTCCATGGCCTTGCCCACATGATGTCCCTAATGACATTATAATTCAAACATCCTTACCATAGATTCCAAAAAAAAGTGAATAAATTTAACCCCATAAATCCTACAACGTTCTTTCACATTCAGTTTTCTTTTCCCCTCGGCCTGCATGAAACCAATAAAATGTGATATTCTGAGACTCTACATGCCGTTATTTCTGGCATACAGAGCTAGGGAAAATGAAAGGAGGGCCAAAAGACAAAGTACAGCAATTCAGGAAAGGAAAGGAAAACAAAGTGAGAGCAATAAGACAAGAAATTCATGAGAGTGACAGAATACAAGAGAAAAAAAACAGAGCTGCAAGTAAAAGATCAAGAATCTTTAAAGGAAAGCCTTCATCTTGTAGTCCTCATCTTGAGTCAGCCAGAATATGACACTGGCAATAGATCAGATGGTTGTCAATATTGTAATGCAAACAATTGAAAAAAAACACCGTCACTGTACTGTCCAAATGTTAAAATAAGATTTCACCCATAAGTGAGTAAATAGCTGAATATTCGAGTGAGGACAACAAAATAAGAGCAATAAAATTGAGAAGAACATCAAAAGATACAACAGCTGAGTAAAATGGGACCTAGATCAGATAGGCAAATGGACCTAGGAGTGGCAGATGGAGTTTAATTTAGATAAATGTGAGGTGCTGCATTTTGGAAAGTTATTTCAGGGCAGGACTTAAACACTTAATGGTAAGGTCCTGGGGAGTGTTGCTTACAAAGAGACCTTGGGTGCAGGTTCATAGTTCCTTGAAAGTGGAGTCCCAGGTAAACAGGATAGTGAAGAAGGCATTTGGTACACTTGCCTTTATTGGTCAGTGCATTGAGTATAGGAGTTGGAAGGTCATTTTGCGGCTGTACAGAACATTAGTTAGGTCACTTTTGGAATACAGCATTCAATTCTTGTCTCCCCGCTATAGGAAGGATCTTGTTAGACCTCAGAGTTCAGAAAAGACTAATAGGGATGTTGCCAGGGTTGGAGGGTTTGAGCTATGGGGAGAGGTTGAATAGGTTGGGGCTATTTTCCCTGGAGAGTCGGGGGCTGAGGGGTGACCTTATAGAGGTTTATAAAATCATGAGGGGCATGGATAGGGTGGTTGCCAAGGTCTTTTCCCCAGGGTAGGGGAGTCCAAAACTAAAGGGCATAGATTTTAGGTGAATGGGGAAAGATTTAAAAAAGACCTAAGAGGCAACTTTTTTATGTAGATGGTGGTGTGTAAATGGAATGAGCTGCCAGAGGAAGTGGTAGAGGCTGGTCCAATTACAACATTTAAAAGGCATCTGGACGGGTATATGAATAGGAAGGGTTTAAGAGGGATATGGGCCAAATGCTGGCAAATGGGACTAGATTAATTTAGGAGATCTGGTCGGCATGGGCGAGTTGGACTGAAGGGTCTGTTTCTGTGCTGTATATCTCCAAGACTAAGAAGCAGACAACTTGGTAAAGATCAGTGGGAAGCCAGAGGATTGGGAAGCCTTTAAAAACCAGCAGGCATTGTCGATGATCTTTCAGGAATCACTGGAGTCAGGCATGGTCCCAGAGTACTGGAAAATAGCTATTATAACACCCCTGTTTAAGAAGGGAGGGAGACAGAAGATGAAACTATAGGTTGGTTAGCCTGGCATCAGTCATTAGTAAGATTTTAGAGTCGATTATTAAGAATGAATTTGTGGAGTACTTGAAAGTACATAACAAAATAGGGCTGTTCAGTACAGCTTCGTCAAGGGGAGGTTAGACCTGACAAATCTGTTAGAATTATTTGAGAAGGTAATGAGCAAGTTAGACAAAGGAGAGCCGGTGGACATGATCTGTTTGGATTTCCAGAAGACCTTTGACAAGGTGCCGTATAGGAGGCTGCGAGATAAGATTAGACCCCATTAGGGGCAAGGTACTGTCACAGATAGAAGATTGGCTGACTGGCAGAAGGCAGAGAGTGCGGATAAAGGGGTCTTTTTCAGGGTGGCAGCCAGTGACTGGTGAAGTTCCGCCAGTTTTTACATTGGGACCACAACTATTCGATCACACATTAATGATCTGGAACTGAGGGCTTTGTTGCTGAGTTTGCAGATGACACAAAGATTGGTGGAGGGTCAGCTAGTGTTGAGGACATAGCGAGGCGACAGAAAGACTTGCTTAGGCTAAAAGCATGGGCAAAGAAGTGGCACATGGAATACAACATGGGAAAGTGTAAGGTCACGCACTTTGGTAGGAAGAATAGAGGCATAGACTATTTTCTAAACCGGGATAGGCTTCAGGAATCTGAAGTACAAAGGGACTTAGGAATCCTAGTTTGGGATTCTTTTAAAGTTAACATACAGGTACATTTGACAGTTAGGAAGGCAAGTGCAATGTCAGCATTCATTTCAAGAGGTCTAGAATACAACAGCAGGGATGTACAGCTGAGGTTGTATAAAGCTCTGGTCAGACCGCATTTGGAATATTATGAGCAGTTTTAGGCCCCATATCTAAGAAAGGATGTGCTGATGTTGAAGGAGGTCCACAGGAGATTTACAAGAATGATTCCAGGGATGAATGGTTTGTCATATGTGGAGCGATTGAGGACTCTGGGTCTGTACTTGATAGAATTGAGAAGGATTACAGGGATATGATTGAAACTTACAGAATTCAGAGAGACCTGGACAGGGTGCATGTGGAGAAGATGTTTCCACTCGTAGGAGAGACTAGTGAGGGCACAGCCTCAGAGCGAGGAGATGACCCTTTAGAACTGAGATTAGAGGAATTTCTTTAGCCAAAGAAATCTGTGTTAATCCGTGGAACTCATTGCCACAGAAGGTTGTGGAGGCCAAGTCATTGAGTATATTAAAGACAGAGATCAATAGGTTCTTGATTAATAAGGGGATCAAGGGTTATGGGGAGGAGGCAGGAGAATGGGGTTAAAAAACATAACAGCCATGATCAAAAGCTGGAGTAGACTTGATGGATGGAATGGCCTAATTTAGTGGAAAAACTATAAACAAACAAAACAAATTGTTCACATACCTGCAGCAGTTCTTCATAAGTTACAAACAAAATGTTATCCTGATCCTTTCTCTGCCACCAACTCTTAACGTGGTCAAACCAGGAACCAAACATTACTTTGAGTGGAGGAAAAAGACTAATAAATGTCAGCCATACATAAAATATTGCTTTCAGGAATCATTAGTTTCATAAAGCAAAATACCAATTTGTTGGCAAAACATTCAAACCACTTGAGCATTTCAATTTTAAACTGTTCTGAGGATGGGTCACCGGACCTGAAACATTAACTCTGTTTTCTCTTCCACAGATGCTGCCAGACCTGCTGAGCTTTTCCAGCAACTTTGTTTTTGTTCCTGATTTACAGCATCCGCAGTTCTTTTGGGTTTTTTTCAATTTTAAACTAGTTTTGTTGGATAGCAATCTGAGGTTACCAAACCACCCGACTACCACATCTACAAGAAAGGCAGAGATTGAAGACAATCTATTGTAATTGAAACAATGTTGAAACTGAGACATGTTTCATTGCACATTATATGGGTATAGCATGGCTTCTATTTATAGACATGACATGACATGGACTCAATTGGTCACATGGCCTGTGTTGTAATAACTCTGACATAAATTTTGTACTCAATATCAGCTGTTAAAATGTCACCAAACTTAAAGCCACCAAACTTTTCTTCAAATTAAACGGGAACATTTATTGAAAATGATAATGAATTAATAACTGAAGAGGAAGTGGCAGACAGAGCTTAATTTCGATAAATGTGAGGTGCTGCATTTTGGAAAGGCAAATCAGGGCAGGGCTTATACACTTAACGGTAATGGGGACAGCTGTTGAACAAAGAGACTTTGGAGGGCAGGTTCATAGTTCCTTGAAAGTGGAGTCGCAGTAGATAGGATAGTGCAAAAAGCATTTGATATGCTTGCCTTTATCAGTCAGTGCATTGAGTATAGGAGTTGGGAGGTCATATTGCGGCTATACAGGACATTGGTTAGGCCACTTTTGGAGTAGTGCATTCAGTTCTGGTCTCCGTGCTATAGGAAAGATGTTGTGAAACTTGAAAGAAAACATTTACAAGGATGTTGCAGGGTTGGAGGGTTTGAGCTATAAGGAGAGGCTGAAGGCTGGCGCTATTTTTCCTGGAGTGTCAGAGGCTGAGGGGTGACCTTATAGAGATTTATAAAATCATCAGGGGCATGGATAGGGTAAATAGACATTGTCTTTTCCCTTGGTGAGGAGCTCAAAACTAGAGGGCATGGTTTAAGGTGAGAGGGGAAGATATAAAAGGGACTTAAGGGGTAATATTTTCACACAGAGGAATGATGCATGTGTGGAATGAGCTGCCAGAGGAAGTGGTGGAGGCTGCTACAATTACAAGATTTAAAAGGCATCTGGATGGGTATATGAATAGGAAGGGTTTAGAGGGATATGGGTCAAATGCTGACAAATGGGACTAGATTTATATAGGATATCTGGTTGGTATGGATGAGTTGGACTGAAGGGACTGTTTCCGTGCTGTGTATCTCTATGACTCTAAAATTACCATTTCCTTCCAGGAATTTATGAATGAACTCCTCAAAGGTCCCTGCGTCGTCCACGAACGAGGCCATATTGTGATAGTGAAAGGAAGAGACAAGTGCATCCTTTGGATTTCGGGACACATAGACAACCTATAAAAAAGCAGAAAATGTAAGCTTAATTTATTTAATCTCAAGAAAATCTATCATTTAAATCAATGTAAACAGTTTGATGCAATTCAATGTAGGAGGTGTTTACTAAAATGGACATAGTTATTTCATGATTTCATGAAAGATGAGGAACCCACATTTCGTGTGTTCTATTCCAACCATCTCAATGAGGGTTAATTTATTCTTTATTCATTAATGGGATGAGGGCGTTGCTGGCTAGGCAGCATTTAGTGCCCATCCCTAATTGCCCAGAGGGCAGTTAAGAGTCAACCTGTGGGTCTGGAGTCACATGTAGGCCACACTAGGTAAGGATGGCCGTTTCCTTCCCTAAAGGGCATTAGTGAACCAGATGGGTTTTTCCGACAATTGACAATGGATTCATGGTCACTATTAGATTCTTAATTCCAGATACTTATTGAATTCAAATTCCACCATCTGCCGTGGCTGGATTCAAACCCACTACCCAGAACATTATCTGCGTCTCTGGATTAACAGTCCAGCGATAATACCACTAGGCCATCACCTCCCCAGATAATGGCAGGATTCTCGGCAGTGGGGAGGAACAGATGGATCTTGGGGGTCCACGTCCATAGATCCCTCACAGTTGCCACCTAAGTTGATTGGGTTGTAAAGAAGCGTATGGTGTGTTGGCTTTCATTGGCAGGGGAATTGAGTTTAAGAGCCGTGACGTTATGTTGCAGCTCTATAAATCTCTGATTAGACCACACTTGGAATACTGTGTTTAGTTCTGGTCACCTGATTATAGAAAAGATGTGGAAGCTTTAGAGAGGGTGCAGAGGAGATTTACCAGGATGCTGCCTGGACTGGAAGGCAGGTCTTATGAGGAAAGGTTGAGAGAGCAAGGGCTTTTTTCATTGGAGTGAAGAAGGATGAGAGGTGATTTGATAGAGGTGTACAAGATGATGAGAGGCATAGATAGAGTGGATAGTCAGAGACTTTTTCCCAGGGCGGAAATGACTATTACGAGGGGGCATAATTTTAAGGTGATTGGAGGAAGGTATAGGGGAGATGTCAGAGGTAGGTTCTTCACACAGAGAGTGGTGGGTGTGTGGAATGCGCTGCCAGCAGTGGTAGTGGGGTCAGATACATTAGGGACATTTAAGCGACTCTTGGATAGATACATGGAGGATAGTAAAATGTAGGGTATGCAGGGTAGATTGATCTTAGTAGAATAATACATTGGCACAACATTGTGGGCCGAAGGGCCTGTACTGTGCTGTAGTGTTCTATGTTCTATTAAACAAAAACAAGCAGAATAGGGTATTTCCAACGCCAAACATGGTCATCAGAGATGGCTCCAGCAGTCTGCGCATACACTTACCCAAGTTCTGAAGAAGGGTCACTGGACCTGAAACGTTAACTCTGTTTTCTCTCCTCAGATGCAGCCACACCTGCTGAGCTTTCCTAGCAATTTCTGATTTTACTTAAGTACTAAAATAGGTGGTATCATGGACAGTGAGGAAGGTTATGAGAAATTGCAGCAGGATCTTGATCAGCTGGGGAAGTGGGCTGAGAATTCGAAAATGGAGTTTAATATAGATAAGTGTGAGGAGTTGCATTTTGGAAAGTCAAATCCAGGTAGGAGTTTCATGGTGAGTGATAGGGCCTTCAGGAGTGTAGTGGAACAGAAGGGCCTTGGAGTGCAGATGCACAGTTTTCTGAAAGTGGAGTCATAGGTAGACAGGGTCAGTGAAGAAGGCTTTTGGCACACTGGCCTTCATCAATCAGGGCATTGAGTATAGAAGTTGGTAAGTTATATTGCAGTTGTACAGGACATTGATGAGGCTGCACTTGGAGTATTATGTTCAGTTTTGGTCACCTTGCTGTAAGAAGGATGTAATTAAACTGGAAGGAATGCAGAAGAAATTTACAAGGATGTTGCCAGGACTCAAGGGACTGAGTTATGGGGAGAGGTTGGACAAGCTAGGACTTTTTTCTTTAGAGCATAGGAGACTGAGGGGGGATCTTATAGAAGTGTATAAGATCATGAGAGGCATGGATAGGGTGAATGCACTCAGTCTTTTTCCCAGGGTTAGGGAATCAAGGACTAGAGGGCACCAGTTTAAAGTAAGAGGGGAAAGAACACATGGGAACCTAAGGGGCAACTTTTTTTACACAGAGGGTGGTACGCATATGGAATGAGCTGCTAGTGGACATGTCTGAGGCAGGTACATTAACAACATTTAAAACACATTTGAACGAATACATGGATAGGAAGGATATGGGCCGAGTGGAGGGAAATGGGGTTAGCATGGATGGACATTTTGGTCGGCATGGACCAGTTTGGGCCGAAGGGCCTGTCACTGTGCTGTAGGACTCTGTGACTTTACTGTTCCTAGGCTGCGTTTTATTTGAGTTTTTTTTTGCTTCCATTAAATGATTGGGTTGTGGGGAGAGGTTTAGGTGAAGTTAACTTTTAGAATCTGTTCCCAGAATACAACGATACATTCTCAGTTCCTGACACGAACCAAACATTAAGTGGAACTCAAGAGCAATATGTTACTGGAGGGCAGATGGTTCACCTTTCATCATACATATCAACCCATATACTGTGATAACGGGCCGAGGGGATAAGTTAGAATTGGTGACTGTACTAAAAGCAACTCATGTCATAACAGGACAGGGTGTGGTGTGGGTAAAAACCATGGACGGATTGAATCAGGCTCTGGTAAAAGAAAACAAATTTTCCACATCCACCTGAAATAGTTCTCCCAGGATCTCGTATGTTACAATTAAGTCACCTCTGACTCTTCTAAACTCCACAGGATAAAGGCCTAGCCTGTCTAGCCTTTCCTCACAAGGCAATCCCCTCATTCCAGTTATTAGTCAAGTAGCACCTCTCTGAATTAATTCCAATACATTAACATCCTTCCATAAGTACAGTGACCAGCAATGTACACAGTACTCCAGATGCAGTCTCACCAATGCCCTATATAACTGAAATATAACCTTCTTACTCTTGCAGGGCAAAACTGAGAGGATTGTTGCTAAGTTTGCAGATGGTACAACGATAAGTGGAGGCACAGGCAGTGTTGAGGAAGCAGAGAGGCTGGTGAAGGACTTGGACAGGCTGGAAGAGTGGGCAAAGAAGTAGCAGATGGATTACAATGAGGGTGATGTGAGGTTAGGCACTTTGGTAGGAAGAATAGAGACATAAATTATTTTCTATAAAGGGAAAGGCTTTGGAAATCTGAAGCAAAAGGGACTTGGGAGTCCTAGTTCATGATTCTCTTCAGGTTAACTTTAATTTATTCATGGAGCCATTTATTGCCCATCTCTAACTACCCAGAGGGCAATTAGGAGTCAACCAATTTGCTGCAGGTCTGGAGTCACATGGAGGCCAGACCAGGTAAGGATGAAAGATAGAGACAACAAGGTGCAGAGCTGGATGAACACAGCAGGCCAAGCAGCATCATAGGAGCAGAAAGACTGACGTTTCGGGCCTAGATCCTTCATCCTATCTAAGGATGAAAGATATCCTTCCAAAGGACATTAGTGAACCAGATGCATTTTTCTGACAATTGACAACAGTTTCACGATCATCATCAGACTCTTGATTACAGATCTTCTACTGACTTCGAATTCCACCATCTGTCATTGGCAGGATTAAAACCCAGATCACCAGAACATTACTTCGGTCTCTCGATTAATAATGCAGTAATAATATCATTAGTCCATTGCCTCCCCATGCAGGTTAAGTTGCCAGTTTGGAAGGCAAATGCAATGTTAGCACTCATTTCTAGAGAACTAGAATACAAAGAGCAGAGATGTACTGCTGAGGCTATATAAGGCTCTGGTCAGACCACTAATGGAATATTTGTGAGCAGTTATGGGCCCCATACCTAAGGAAGGTCTTCAGCAGGATTCAGAGGAGATTAAGAAGAATGATCCTGGGGATGAAGAGCTTGTTATATGAGGAGCGGTTGAGGACTCAGGTTCTGTACTCAACAGAGTTTAGTAGGATGAGAGGTGATCTCACTGAAACTTACAGAATATTGAGAGGCCTGGATAGTGCCAACATAGAGATGTTTCCACTCATAGGAGAGATGAGGACCTGAGGGCACAGCCGTCGAGTGCAAGGATGACTCCTTAGAACTGAGATGAGGAAGAATTATTTCAACCTGAAAGTAAACCCATTGCCACAGAAGGCTGTAAAGGTCAAGTCATTGACTGTTTTTAAGACAGAGATAGATGGGTTCTTGATTAATAAGGGGACCAAGGGTTATGGGGAGAAGGCAGGAGAATGGGGTTGAGAAATTAGCCAGTCATGTTCAAATGGTGGAACAGACTCAATGGGCTGAATGGCTTAATTCAGTGGAAAAATCTTATACTTACTCAATCCCAATAAAACATAATATTCTGTTAGCTTTCCTGATTACTTGTTGCATCTGCACACTAATCTTCTGCAATTCATTCAGTAGACACCCAGATCCCTCTGCATTTCAGAGCTCTGCAACCTCTCACTATTTAGAAAATATACTTCTTTTGCATCCTTTCTCCTAAAACAGAAAATTTCACACTTTCCCAAATTGGAATCCGTTTGCCAGATCTTTGTCCGCTCACTTGAGTGATCTGTATCCCTTTGATTTCTATGGACACCAGTTATGATATCCTGCTGGCGTGAAAAGATCTCATTTATTCCTACTGTCTGCTTTCTGTTAGCAAGTCAATCTTCTATCTGTGCTAATCTGTTACCCGTACACCATGAGCTTTTCATTTTGGCAATAACCTTTGAAGTGGTGGCACAGTGGTTAGCTCTGCTGCCTCACAGCACCAGGGACCCAGGTTCAATTCCACCCTCGGGCGACTGTCTGTGTGGAGTTTGCACATTCTCCCTGTGTCTGCGTGGGTTTCCTCCGGGTGCTCTGGTTTCATCCCACAGTCCAAAGATGTGCAGGCTAGGTGGATTGGCCATGCTAAATTGCCATAAAGTGTTCAGGGATTTGTACGTTAGGTAGGTTATAGGGGGATGGGTTTGGATGGGTGTTCTGAGGGTCGGTGTGGACTTGTTGGGCCAAAGGGCCTGTTACCATACTATAGGAATTCTATGATATGTCACCTTACCAAATATTTTCTGGAAATCTAAGTCTAATACATTCACTGGTTCCCCTTAATTCAGAGCATTAGTTACTTCTTCAAAAAAACTTCAATAAATTCACTGAAGACGAATAAGATCACTGAAGGTGGCAGCACAGGTAGATAAGGCAGTGAAAAAAGCCTATGGCATGCTGGCCTTCACTGGAAGGGACATTGAGTATAAGGATAGACAAGTTATGCTGCAGCTTTATAGAACTTTAATTAGGCCACATTTGGAATATTGCGTACAGTTCTGGTCACCACACTACCAGAAGGATGTGGATGCTTTGGAGAGGGTACAGAAAAGATTTACCAAGATGTTGCCTGGTATGGGGGATTTTAGCTATGAAGAAAGGTAACAGACTGGGTTTGTTTCCACTGGAACGCAGGAGGTTGAGGGGTGACCTGACAGAAGTTTATAAAATTGTGAATGGCATGGATAGCGTGGGAAGTATGAGGCTTTTTCCCAGGGTGGAGGTGTCAGTTACTAGGGGACACAGATTCATGGTTTAGTTTTAAATCATTCATGGGATGTGGGTGCTGCTGGCTAGGTGAGGGTCTGCCAGAGGAGGTGGTAGAAGCAGACACAATAGCAGCATCGAAGAAGCACCTGGACAAATACATGAATAGGAAGGGAATAAGGGATACGGTTCCTGTAATTGAAGACAGTTTTAATATGGAAGGACAAAATGTGTCAGCACAGGCGTGGAGGGCTGAAGGGCTTTTTTCTGTGCTGTATTCTTCTTTGTTATTTAAATTAGTTAAATCTGATTTCCCTTTGACAAAATCATGTTGGCTTGCCTGATTACCTTGAATGTATCCAGGTGCACTGTTATAATATCTCCGATAATACATTCTAACATTTTCTCCACGACCAATGTTAAACTTGTGGTTTTCTGCTTCCCTCTCTTTTTGAATAAAGGAGTTATATTAGCTATTTTCCAGTCCAAATGAACCTTCCCCTAGCTCCTTCTTTTAAGACCCTAAGATGAAATCCATCAGGACCTGGGGACTTGATAACTCTCAGTTCTACCAGTTTACTTCTCTAGTGATTAGAATTTTCTTGCGTTTCTCCTTTCCTTTCCATTCCTGATTTACAGCTATTTTTGGGATGCTACCTGTATCCTTTCCAGTGAAGTCCAAGGCAAATTAAATGTTCAATTCATCCGCCATCTCTTTGTCCTACTTTACTAATTCTCCAGAAACATTTACTATAGGACCAACACTTAATTTGTTAAGAGACAGTAGGAACTGCCGATGCTGGAGTCAGAGATAATACAGTGTGGAGCTGGATGAACACAGCAGACCAGGCAGCATCAGGGGAACAGGAAAGCTGAACAGGGTCCCGACCCGATTTAATTTGTTAACTCTTCATTGGAAATGTTTCTTCAGACATTTAAAAATTTGTTTTTATATTTTTGGTTGACTTTCTCTTGTGGTCTAATTTTTCACTGAATATTAATCTTTTAGTAATCCTTTGGTCTTTTTTAAATATTCTGTCCAATCTTCTGATTTGTCTTCTGTCTTTGCACGATTGTATGTTTTTTCTTTAAGTCTGATACTAGCTTTGACATTTTTAGTTAACCACCAATAGCAGGTCTGCAACTTAGAACTTATCTTATTTATTGGAAAGAATCTATTCTGCACTTTCTGGAATATTCTTTCAAATGTTTGCCACTGCATCTCTATTGACCTATCCTTTAACTTACATTTCCAGATCTCTGTTGCAACTGGAATCAAGCCTCCTAAATACCTTGAAATTTCACCCACAATAACACTCCAGAACTTAACAAATCAGTTTTCTATTCTTGTCGCTAATGATCCTTTCACTATGCAAATATGTTTCTTGCCCAATAGCCAAACAAACCAGAATACATAGCAGGAAAAGAGACAAAATAGAGGTGTTATGATTTTAAATGTTTTAAACAAAGCATACACTGCAGAGCTGACTGGAAGAACCAAACAGTTAACATTTTTCTGACTACTGATTTCAGTTCATGAGGGAAACAAAGCAGTATGTGCAATACAGGGTTTCAGTTAATTCCTTAATGTAGTGGTGTATGACAAGAAATGCATTCAGTTGATGATCTTTTTGAGCGCTTCAGAAATTTGACCAGAGGAAATATTTAAGTATCACTCATCTTTTTCTTTTGGAGACAATAATCTTCCTGTTAAGGAAGGTCTTCATCAGTATTGATTCTCCATAAAGTCTAGAAAGACTTCTTTATTCTGGTAGATTAACTAGTTGTGCTGATAGCAAATATTGTCTCCTCTTTAAGCTTACTCTGTTTATGCCCAGCAATGTTGTTATACATATGCTTGCTGTCAGAAGACTGGTCTTTTAACAAACACTCAATTATGCAAGGTCTGAATTTCCAGACAATGTTTTAAATTCCAAATGCCTCGAAGGCTGTGAATTGTTCACTACTTTAGTTCCTCATCAGGGCTGATATCCAGCCCAGTACAGTGAGTGCTCTACGGTTTGTTGGAGGTACTCCATTTCAAATCAGACATTTAAATAAGGCCCTATCTGCGCTATCAGTGAATATACAAGCTCCCATGACATGATTTCAAAGATCAGGGGAGTTAGATACAGTATTATAGAAAATGCTGTAAACATTCATAACAGACAACATTTACATGAGAAACTGAGTTAATGTTCCAGGCCATGACAATCTTTATCAAATGAAGCATTTATCTTATTCTCTACAGATGGTAGAAATCTGACTTGGTGAGTGTTTCCAACATTTTATGTCTATATTTCATATTTCAAGCACCTCATGGAGTCATATAGATATACAGCACGGAAACAGACTCTTCGATCTAACTTGTCCATGCCGACCAGATATCCTAAATTAATCTAGTCCCATATCCCTCTAAACCCTTCCTATTCATATACCCATCCAGATGCCTTTTAAATCTTGTAATTGTACCAGTCTCCACCATTTCCCCTGACAGCTCATTCCATACATGCACCACCCTCTGCGTGAAAAAGTTGCCCCTTAGATCCCTTTTAAAATCTTTCCCCCTCACCTTAAATCTATGCCCTCTAGTTTTGGACTCACCCATCTCAGGGAAAAGACGATGTCTTTTTACCTTATCCATGGCCCTCATGATTTTATAAACCTCTATAAGGTCACCCCTCAGCCTCCGATGCTCCAGGGAAAATAGCCCCAGCCTATTCAGCCTCTCCCTGTAGCTCAAACCCTCCAACCCCGACAACATTCTTGTAAATCTTTTCTGAACCTTTTCAAGTTTCACAACATCTTTCCTATAGCAGGGAGACGAGAATTGCACACAGTATTCCAAAAGTGGCCTAACCAATGTCCTGTACAGCTGCAAAGTGACTCCCAACTCCTATACTCATTGCACTGACCAATGAAGGAAAGCATACCAAACGCCTCCTTCATTGTCCAATCTACCAGTGACTCCACTTTCAAGGAACTATGAACCTGCACTCCAAAGTCTCTTCGTTCAGCAACATTCCCTAGGACCTTACCGTGAAGTATAGAAATCCTGCCCTGATGTGCCTTTCCGAAATAACCTTACATTTATCTAAATTAATCTCCATCTGCCACTGCTCGGTCCATTGGCCCATCTGAATAAGATCCCGTTGTACCCTGAGGTAACCTTTGTTGCTGTCCACTACACCTCTAATTTTGATGTCATCTGCAAACTTACTAACTATTCCTCCTATGTTCACATCCAAATCATTTACGTACATGATGAAAAGCAGTGGATTCAGCACCGATCCTTGTGGCACACCGCTGGTCACAGGCCTCCATCACAATAATCTGCCTTCTACCTTCGCGCCAGTTCTGTATCCAAATAGCTAATTCTCCCTCCGTTCCATTTGATCTAACTTTGCTAACCAGTCTACCATAGTCCATATAGATCACACCACTCTACCTTCATCAATCCCCTTCATTACTTCTTCAAAAAACTCAATCAAGTTCATGAGACCAATTTCCCACGCACAATGCCATGTTGACTATCCCTAACCAGTCCTTGCCTTTCCAAATACATGTAAATCCAGTCCCTCAGGATTCCCTCCAACCACTTGTCCACCACCGTTATCAGGCTCACCGATCTATGGTTCCCTGGCTTTTCCTTATCACCTTTCTTAAAAAGTGGTACTACGTTAGTCAACCTCCAGTCTTCCGGCACATCACCTGTGGCTATCGATGGCACATATCTCAGCAAGGGGCCCAGCAATCATTTCCCTAGCTTCCTGCAGAGTTCTAGGGTACACCTGATCAGGTCCCGGGGATTCATCCACCTGTATGCGTTTTAAGATGTCTAGCATCTCCTCCTCTGTAATATGGACATTTTTCAAGATGTCACTGTTTATTTCCACACGTTCTCCACCTTCCATATCCTTCTCCACAGTAAACACTGATGCAAAATACTTACTTAGTATCTCCCCCAGCTCCTGTGGTTCCACACATAGGTGGCCTTGCTGATCTTTAAGGGACCCTACGCTCTCCCGAGTTACCCTTTTGTCCCTAATGTATATATTAAAATCCCTTTGGATTCTTCTTAACCCTATTTGCCAAAGCTATCTCATGTCCCCTTTTGCCCTCCTGATTTCCCTCTTAAGTATACTCCTATTGCCTTTATATTCTTCTAGGGAATCACTCAAACTCTGCTGTCCATACCTGACATATACTTCCCTCTTATTCTTGACCAAAACCTCAATTTTGCTAGTCATCCAGCATTCCCTACACCTCCCAGCCTTGCCTTTCACCCTAACAGGAATATACTGTCTCTGGACTCCCATTATCTCATTTTTGAAGGATTCCTATTTTCCAGCCATCCCTTTACGTGCGAACATCTGCCCCCAGTCAATTTTTGGGAGTTTTTGCCTAATACCATCAAAATTGACCTTGGTCCAATTTAGAACTTTAACTTTGAAATCTGGTCTATCCTTTTCCATCATGGTTTTAAAACTAATAGAATTATGGTCACTGGCCCCAAAGTCTCTCCCTGATACCTCAGTCACCTGCCCTGCCTAATTTCCCAAGAGTAGGTCAGGTTTTCCACCTTTCCTAGTAGGGACATTCACATATTGCATAAGAAAATTTTCTTGTACACACTTAAATTCCTCTCCATCCAAGCCCTTAACACTATGGCAGTCCCAGTCTATGTTCGGAAAGTTAAAATCCCCTACCATAACCGTCCTATTATTCTTATTGTTTGACATACTCCTTTTCCCAACTCTACCAGGCACAGCTGATCTGTTTCCTCACTATCTCCCTCGTTCTTCACTGCCCACCCACCCCGGCAACTCCTCCCAAGCAGCTCTGGCAAATCTCTCCACCAGTTTATTAGTCCCCTTCCAATTTAGGTGCAATCTGTCCTTCCTTTACAGGTCACTTCTATCCCAGAAAAGATTTCAATGATCCAAAAATGTGAATGCTTCTCCCCTGCACCAGCTCCTCAGACACACATTTATCTGCTTTATCCTCCTATTCCTACCCTCACTAGCTCGTGGCACTGGGAGTAATCCAGATATTACTACCCTCAAGGACCTACTTTTTAAATTCCTGCCTAACTTCCTTTATTCTCTCCTCAGAACCTCGTCCTTTCTCTTCCTGTGTCATTAGCTCCAATGTGTACATCAACTTCCTGCTAGTCCCTCTCCCCTTTGGGAATACTCTGCACCCTGTCTGAGATATCGTTGATCCTGGCCCCAAAGTCTCCCCCCGATACCTCAGTCACCTGCCCTGCCTTATTTCCCAAGAGTAGGTCACATTTGGCACCTTCTCTAGTAGGTACATCCACATACTGCATAAGAAAATCTTCTTGTACACACTTAGCACCATTCTGATGTCTCGCTGTTGGCTGGAAAAACGTCTGTCTG